CGTGATCCTGTTAGTGGATCGCAGCTGAGATCTGACTTCTGATCCTGAAATAGGATCGCGGTCTCCAGTGAGATCGAGGATCTTGTCTTTCCATGTCTCATGACGGATGACATAATCAAAACGGGTGTGACTACCCTATAGCCTCGTCCTAGGTTGTATGATCCTGTCCGCTTGGAGTTTGGGTACGCTATTGCCAGCGACCCGTCCCGGCCTGTATCCACCAATCATAGCATTCTTGGCTTAAATGGGGCGTGCGATCCGTGCGATTGCCGATCCAATTCCCAGTAAAAAAATTATTGTGACCGCTTTGCCACAGGTCGTATAGCGCCTAAGGGATCAAGTGCTGGTCCATCACGCAGTCTCCTGAACTCCTTCTGATTGTGCGCGGGAGTTCTGTGGCGTTGGTGTTCGCATCTTTGGTCATCGTCGTTTTATATTGACCGTTGGGGTCTTGCAGTTTCGCAATCACGGTTCGGGAGTGCTGTTTTGAGAAGTGATGATGTAACGGGCCACCTTGTTACATACGTATTTTTGATTTAGTTCATATGTTACCTAAGTAGATGAGCTACTTTCAAGGTAGCGGAAGTAGCACGTCGTATATTTAAGCTGGTTTAATGGGCTTGGTCCCATTGTTAGCCAGTATTACATCGGCACGTAGAATGGGTGGTCTCCATGAGTCCAAGGGAACCATCCCTACTTAGGATAAAAAATAGAGTTTGAAATGCTAAACACCTACGACTTGGCCTTTGAGGCTTTTTCAAAGCAGTATGTTGTGCAAGATAAGTACAGGTTATTTTTGCCCCTTTACAATTGTCGAAATAAGGGTGTCGACCGTTTGGTTGAGGAGGGTGTAACATGGTCGATTATTGAACCGGTTATGTTTTGTGTCCACTCTAAGTAAAGATCGGTCGATCTTTGTGGTTCAGTCTTGGTACCACGTACTTACGGTAATACCGCACCTTATCGGGTAGGGATAAGAAATAAGACTACTGACGTAGGATCACAATGTAGAAGTCAGTTAGACAAAGTTTTAGCATGTAGTTAAAGAATCAATAAAGTTCAGTTTTCCTTTTGGTTCGTTGGACACAAGTGACTAGTAAAGGCGAAGTGTGTTGTAAAAAAGCATTAGCTTTGTAAAGGCGCTTTCTCTTGTTAATTGCTGCAAAACCCATTTATAAAATAATGCTGGGGCCTCTTTTCCTGATAATTTCAAGGAGGGAATAATTGAGAACATGTTGTAGCATTCTTGCAATTATTGCAAAATGTTTCTCCGATATATAGGGCTGCTCGGAGGAAGAAAGGCCTATTTTGATTCGACAAGTATTTTGTAAATCAGCCAATTTGGTGTGAAATTGCCAATATAAAGTTACTGGCTCGATACCGGTGAGAAAGATAGACAAGAAAGTCAAATCTTCGGTCCTTGTGTTTGAGACCCACTAGCAATTTCCTGCCAGGCAGTGACTTCCCCCACTTAAGGTACGTTTCATCGTTGTGAACCTCAGACCAGAATTAGACATGGTAGATAATACGAATAAGTGTAGCGCGACTAGCTAATTATCACTACGCGATGTGGCAATTAAAAAAGTAAAGGCTGAAAGAATGTAGCAGGCTTAAAGTTCCAACAGTAATTGTGAACCAAGGACCGTAACATATTTACTTTGCATTTTAGATTCCAGTGGTCGGTCTAAGTCTACGGGCCTGCCTCCCAATTCTTCTAAAACAACCTAGCAGCACATCAACAATACCTTTAAGAGGAGAACACCACACTAGAATGAAAACGATGTACGTGTGGCTCTCTGCAAGCATCGTGCAGAGAACCCGTCACTGACCCGTCTCAGTCTCAGCTTGTCAACTCGCTACAGGAAATTCATCAGCTAAGGGTAAGTTAGGCAACAGTCTCCAACACATTTTGGAGGAAGGCCGACCTTTTTTTCGGTGTTCAGTCAAGAATCCGCGGATAGAATAAGCTCTAATAGCTTGGCTCACTGCCCACCAGATTCGCATCAAATTTTGCGTTAGACCTTATCTGTGAACATTCCGAGCGAATTTTGAGTCTATTCATCCAGGAAATGAGCCAGTTCAGTTTTTAAATGGGTGGATGGAATCGTTTGAAGCTCGCGACGGATTGCATATATCGTCGCTTATATGAGAGCGGGTTGGTGGACATAGGTGCTGTGGACGATGCACTTTCTTCCTACTTGAAGTCCTAAAACAGAACAAAAGAAGGATATCTACAAAATGCATGAGACTGGCTTGTTTTATCGGATGCAGGAAAGCGCTCTGCAAAAGACAACAAGTCTAATTGTTTTAAATTGACGAGTGCATTCCTTACATTTCAGGCTGACAATTTGTTAGCAACGCGGCAGCTAAAAAGAGTAAGCAAAATCAGGAAAGGATAACTGTGGATGTCTGCTGCAACGGTGATGGTCCCGACAAATTGCCCTGTGTATTATTGGCAAGTACACCACTTACCGCTGATTCCGCCGTTTCAATCTTTAGAAACTTGTCTGTCAGTATCGCAGCAACAAGAAAGACTAGATGACACAGATCATCTTCTCGGAGCGGCTGAGGGACTTCGATCAAAGAATATCTAACCGTAAGGTGCTGCTGATACTAAATTACGGCAGCTTACATGTCCACCTTGCTGATCTTTCCCAGAATATAACACTTTATAACACAACTAACTGCATTCCGCCCAACATGACATCAATGCTTAAGCCTTGTCACCAGGTAATCATTCGAAATCTCAATGCATACAATCAGCGCAGCTTCAACTGTAAGCTCCTTCAAGATTACGAAAATGGTGTGGTTTAGTTGGTAAAGATCATAATCCTTCATGCTATTCAGATGTCAGTCTCCACATGGGCTAACGGTGTCCGCACTAAGACTGTTCGGAACCTGTTTTCCGGCAAGGCAACATCCGGTCCAAACTAGCTGATGCTCCACGAGTCCTCGATGGGGCAGTGCCTTGACAATAGAGTTATGAAAGAAGTAGACCATCATTTTCAAACGCTTCAATTTTTTCTCAAGCTGATATAAATCCACAACCTTATCCATTATCCTGATGAGCAAATTACATTGTACATTCCGTATCTAGACGACATCATTAAAGAGCACCTTCTAACTCAGCCTGAGAATGAGCAGGATAATAGTAGCCTTCTAGATGCTAAGGAGAAAACTGAGTTGCATGAGTCATTCTGATTGCAACAGGATGGTGATGCGCAGAATTTTATAAAGTCACAAGAGCAAATGAAAGACAAAGTCGGGGCGATCCGCAAACATGAAATGGTTCAGCCTGACACACGAGACTTCTTTAGACGTTTTTGGGTAATACTTTACATCATTTAACGATACCAACGTAGTTTTTAAAATTTAATATTTATTTTTTCTAATTATAAAACCTGAATTGCAATGTGTTTTACAAATTTCAGAGGTTTGCTGATTGTTAGATGAGCCCAACCTTGAGGCGGATATAGATATTACGTAGTTGCTATCTTTATCTTTAGACAGTAATTTTTGAGACAAGTTCTACTGTTATAATGACCATATAGTGTGTGATTTCGTACACAGTAATCCCTTTGGAGCTGAGACTGATAAGCTTGTGCGCTTGAACGACTGTACGTCGTTGTTAGTTTGCTATAACTAAAAGACTTTTATAGTCTAAGACTTTTTTTTTGATAATGTAGCGGAGATACTTAGCGCTTCTAAACCGAAAGTCTTACACTAATCGAGTCTCTTAGTTATATCAATCTAACAACGAAGTACAGTCGTACAAGCGTGCAATCTAAATGAACCTTGTTCCAAAGAAATTTAGATTCACAGAATCACACACTAGTTAGTCACTCTTAGTTAAACGATAATAATGACTTTTACGAAGCTAATGCTATTCACACCACACTACGCCTTAACTGAATACTTGTGTTACAAAGCACCCTTTTTAGGGTGTCAAAAGACTTCACGTACACTTGTACGTGCCGAGGAAAATAAACTTACTTATATAACTCGTTTGAATGCCGGTGCAAACAGATCTGCATTTATCTAGTCGATCTATCGATGTTTAACTCAATCTTTATGAGACCATATTAATCTACATTGTCGTATGACTACAACCTGTCCACACCTATAACCCCCGTCTAGCAGCGATTGGTGTTATTCATGATTAATAAGTATTTCAATAATATTCCAGCGGCACGTAATATACCTAAAAGGGTGATATTGCTTCAAAATTACCTATCTCGGACGATATTGGCAAGGGATTGTCACGTCAGACAATCTCTTTATTCAAACCGTTTGGTGTCCATATCATGTAACGAATGAACCCGTGACACATGCACTGTAAGGATGTTCAATTGCTATTTATTACACAATGATAAAAATTATACACAGAAAGGGTCCATAGACAGCCCTCCTTCTTGCTACAGCAACAACACTGCTGGAATCCGTTAGGTTAGGATGGCTGGATAGTTGTCCACCCAGTCCCATCTGAGAAGGTATACGGGCAATTGAGTCATCCGGGAAAGGTATGATAGAAAGGTTTACAGTGCTTTTAGTTACGGTGTGCGTAGTTGCATGCAGATAGAATGTGTCAACTGTCGATACTAGCAAGTCTTGCTGCTTGCTGGATCAGTTGGCATGTATACAGGGAAAAAGAAGAGATGACAGAAAATTTCCGAGCGGTTTCGGTGAGTAACTCTTATGCATTCATCATAGGGCTAGAAGCCCAAATATGAGGGGTCTAGTAGGCAGCATCCGACCGAGAGTTAAAGTGATTGAGCAGACAGGGCTTCCTAAGAAGTGAAACGGGGAAGACTGGGATCTTTAAGCAAATCACGATTGCAGCTTTCGCTGATGAAGAGCTGGACGCGATTGCAAAAGATGGAGTCAAGCGCTCAACGCTGCAGACCGATAACGCAAGAAATAACTACGATCAGCTGCAGATCAACCTGAAGCGACGAACATTAAGTTCCATGTAGGTTGACTTGGCTCCAGGTGTTTATAGCATGGGTACTAATACGGAAATGTGGACACACATTGTAAGTTACTTTGACGGAAAGCAGAACGGCAAGACAAAGTTCATCAATACGAGCATCACGTACGACAAGCTGCAGCGTGCAAGGTCCCAGTCTGGCTCAGATATTGAAGGACATTCGGATAACATGTTCAACCTGTGGGAGCCCTTTGAGACCTTTGGTGGTACGGTCGATGACTTTCAGATGAACCGGTTTTAAATCAACTGTCTGTCACAGACAAACCGCTTTCAAAAGCTTAAAAGTCAAGTCGAGATGTCTTGGATCACGCAGATACCCCGAAGTAACTCCGCGACATGGTTGTGATTCTTGATTGTGCATAGCGTGCAGATGCTGTGACCGCGTATTAGGGCGGCACAACTAAGAAGGTTGATGGCACGCCAGCAAGTACTTGCGAAAGGTTGCAGAAGAATGAAAGCATGCAGAAAACACGGAGGTGCTTCATCCGCACCGGGGCTGGGCATCTGCGTAGAAATTGTCGCCAGAGAGAAGAAAAGTCCGAGCCAAAATACAACAGACCTTCAACAAGTACCAAGCGACAAGCTAAAAGAAGTAAAGAGAATTGCGCTATGCTAGAAGGCCAAGAGAGTGGTTCAATTTACGAAGGTGTCGTCGTAGCGATTGCTGAAGAAAAAGATGCTAGGGGTGAACAGGCGGAGACCGAAGTACAAATTTCTGGAAGTCTACCAGAAATGTTGATCACCGAGCACAAAAATGAAGAGCGAAAGAAGATGTATCGACACCCGCACGGTACCTGGATAGCGCGATAAGCACGCAAGTTGTCTGTGATCACCTGTTTTTTAGCAGTTTGAAAGCTGCAATCGCAAAGCAGCGAATTATCGCTGGGTTTTCGTTTGTGTTTGACAAAGCTAAAGATCATCGGATCCGCGGGGCTTTACAAAAGAGTAAAAGAAGACATCCTAAGACAAACAGAGCTGACAGTTGTTTCATGCGTCGATGGAACGCAACTGACTTTAGTTTCGCATTCTTAGCTCGAAAAGCAAGGATTTGAAGTGGAATACCGACGTAGATGAAGGGCATTCAAAATCAGGTAGAATAATGATTAAACTACGCCCGCACTAACGATAAACGATTATATGTTTGTGTTGCGCATGGCAAGAGAGGGAGAAGAACAAGAAGTAGGAAAGCGGGCACAAGTAACGCAACATGCAGAATAGTAATGTGTACCCACTTATGCAGACAGCATCGATGATCTATAGAAATGGTAACGATAGTCTTAAGCATGTGGGACCAAGCTTGTAACGGTGTAGCCCGTTTCATGATAAAGAAACTAAACAATGTCAATAGGAACATTGTCTAGCATGACAATATTCTACCAGTATTATCCGAGGTGGATAATATTGAAGGAAAGTTTTCCCCTTTTAGGATAGTATTCATGCGCTGCTCAAAGATTGGTTGACATAAGACATATCAACCATAGATTGCCACCAATCGCTGCTAGACGCGCGCATTGAGTGGTGAGCAGGTTTTCGCTATACGACGACGTAGTTTAACATAATTAGATATAGACTAAAGTTACGTTAATAGATTAACCATATCAAACGCAGTTCTCTTTTATCTTTAATCAAACCAGCTGTTGAGTAGACTAGCTTTCTCTGCACGTACTAGTGCACGCGAAGTTTTGTGGCACCTCGAATGAACGGTACTTCGTTACACCTGGCAGCACTTTGTAGTCCGTACAACGAATACTTAGTTTCCGTCTTACATGAACACGTTGGACGTAGAAGACGACAGCTTTCACGTCACACGTCAAGGCTACTCCCATCTAAGTGACTCAGAATGGGAGGTAGTCGGCCGCATGAGTGTGCTCATGGGCGAACCCGCCACCAGTGGTATGTTGGTGTCCTTAAGCAGAGACCAGCAACATGCTGCAATTAACAAGTTCCTACAAGGGCAACTTGCCTTCGAACGACAGAAGAAAGCCTTGCTACAGCAGCGAGGCTCTCATATTGAAATCTTGAAGAATGATATCTTCAGGTACAAGGGAACCGATGACGATTTCCTTTTGAGATGGTTCGTCAAGTCAGACGATGCCATCAGGGCCCTTCAAATCGAGGGTGACGAGATGCAAGTCACCTTCGCCCTATCAAATTTGACAGGACGAGTATAGCATTGGGCCTTAGGGCTCTAGCTATACGACCCAAACGTGTTTGAGTCATTGGAGATCTTGTAGTCTCGGCTCAAAGAGACTTTTGAGCCGCCAAGAGCCGATTTCAGAGCCCCCTCTGCACTCTTGAGGCTAAAGCAAGGTAAGCGTGATTTGCACGCTTACGCACAGCACCTGCGCTACCTTGCGAGTAGCGTTACGTAAAACCCTATTGATGAGCACACGATCATTAACGTGTTCATCTATGGCCTTGTAGATGGGTCGGTGAAGACCTACATGTTCCGAGAGGACTTCCATACGCTAAGAAAGGAGATAGCGTATGCGAAACAAGATGACTTCAGCCTGAGACAGTCTCAGGCTAACTCGTCAAACTATCGTCCTACGAGACGACAGATCACAGGAGGCCCCGAACCAATGGACCTCTGTTATATCGAGAGCAAGAACTCTCGCTCTCTGACACACAAGCGAATAGCAAGATGCCATCGCTGTCAGAAGATTGGACAGTACGCTCATGAGTGTAGTGTCCCAAGCACGGCATCACGTCCAAAGACAGGACGGGGGATTGCCTCTGTTGGCTAAGTAATGGTCCAAGGCGCGGATCCGAACATGTCGCTAAACCGCGACAGCAACAGTCCGTCAAAAAACGGTGTGGGTACGTAGGGGCGGAGCATCCAGCTGATCCAGAAACATCAAAAGAATTTGCAGGACTCTTGACGGAGATTTCTCCAAACGCACAGTCGCTGTGTGTTACTGCCACTAGTGATGAGGTGTCCCTCATCACTTTAAAGATCGAAGTGACAAGTGGAATGTCACTTCGCTTCCTAGTTGACTGTGGGGTGTCTAACAGTTTTATACGACGCCGATCGTTAGAGGTAGTAGGCTCAACTCTGTTGAGCGAGAGTTCCCTCCAACGAGGATGACGGTGTGCCTTTCTACAGGCGCATCCGCAACAGTGAGCAAATGTCTATTGGGAATTTACTACACGCTAGAAGGAAAGCAGTACCATGATGACTACATTGTACTAGATTTGGATGATAAATTCGGTGTCATCCTCGGTCTTCCATGGCTTCAATAATACCAGCTATAGATCAGCTGGTAGCATCGATCCGTGAAGATGCCTGCCTCTTGTTCATCGGATGGCCATCTGATAAACGTCTTGGAGTGTCCACAACCGTGTGGATGTACTACGAGTGAGTGCGATGGCCTCACTTGTTGTACGTCGTTAGTACGACTGCACAAGATCACAGTGTAGAAGGCCACTACACTGTGGAACCAGCTTTCATCACCTGTGTAGAGACACAGGCTGCGCCGAAGGTTCACCACCCGAAGAGATCGAGTGGACTGGAACACAAATGCACACCAAAAAGGGTGCATCCGAGAAGAGAGATTAGTGTTGTTCAGGATGAACAACAAGTTGAAGCGAGATCGACTTTCAGATAGTCGATCGTAGAGCAAGCCCGATCGACTGAGAGAGAGTCGTTTGAAGAGAACGTGACCGTTATAGTACACGCAATGGAAGAAAAATCCAGCGTTCCTGAGAGCAATAACTCACGTGAGAGATATGTTGAGGGTATGGATCCCCGACCACCTGCGGATGTGTTCTCCCAGGAAATCACCGAGACATTGAATGTCTTGGTGAATGACGGATCAAGTGTGTAGGCATTCATACACTTGATCTGGTTACGCCCCCGAAGTCATCTTCGGATGTAGTCAAGTTGCCAACGCTGGAGTCTAAAAGATTTCTACGAGATAAGCGTAGTGACAAGATAAGACAGATCTGCGTATTTGTCACAGAGGACGAGTACGCCGGCGATATTCGGTCGGCACAAGTGTTTAATGAGACCGCCGGCGATATTCGGTCGGCACAAGTGTTTGCTGAGACCGACTGGGCTCTCAGTAGGTCATCGATGGAAGAGAGTGTCCTCGATGAGAAGGCCCGGATTGAGCGATAAACGTCTCAATCTTGTGATTTTTTGAAGACAATTTCTTTGTAGTAGGGTTCAGTTGAATTCAGGGATGTTTTCCCTGAATCCGTGTCATGCGAGCTACCTAAAGACAAAGGCAATAGGCATGAGATCGAACTGAAACCCAATTCGTAATACTGTGTCATGAAGCAGTGGTCACTGCCTCGTGAACAGGTCACAGCGATCGACAAATTCTTTGCCGATCGATTAGCGGCTGGTCATGTGAAAGAATCAATATTCTTACACAGATCTTCGACCTCCTATTTGCGGAAGGCCACTGAAGGGTGGCGGATAGTGCACGCGTTCAACAAAATGAACGCTTCAACGATACCGTCTCAGACGCCGATACCAAGGAAGGACGTTATCATAGATGGTATGGCAAACAGTACCACCTTTTCGTCCGTGGATCTGATAAATAGATTCTATCAGATCCTCATGCGTGAGCAGCATCCCGTAAACAGCAGTGATCACCCCCTGTGGTATGCTGTAAGAGTGGCTAGTGATACCATGTTGGATGAGTAACGCCTCTGCAACGTTCAACAGATGTATTACGAATCTGTTACGATCGGTAATAGACTTTGAGCCGAGTTATTTCGACAATGTGTTCGTCCATAGCCGGGATATGGTTGAAAAGACGGAGGTGGACGTATATGTAATACAGGTCTGGAAGGTTCACATACCTATGTCAGAGTTAAGACTGTTTGCGAACCTCAAGAAGTGCCTATTTGCATTGAGCGAAATACTATGTTTTGGGTGAATCCTGGGTATATTTGTATTACACCCTGATCCGGCAAAAGTTTTTGGGGCTAAGTTACTGGCCTATGTCATTCAACTATTTACGCGAAACCGCCGAGATGACCGTTAAAATCTCTTATTTGTCAAAAAAAAGGGCAGGGAGTCATGGAGTGCTGAGTGTCAGCACTCCTTCGGACCTATCAAAGTAGCTAAATGATGAGGAAATTGCAGACCAGGACAGACTTTTCCATGTGATCTGTGACGCCATCTATTATGCAATTGGCTTCGCTTTTACAGTATGGTTCAGACGGTGCTGAGCGCGTCGTCTGTAATCAATAGCGTCATTGGTAAACAGCTGCGCGGAACTACCCAGTGCATGACATGGAACTCCTTGCCACGAAGCGCGCATTGTCGAAGTTTCGCGTCCATCTGCTAGAAGGTAGGCCGTTCGTAGTTTGTACGGACCATGCATCATTACACACGACCATAAACAGTCCAAAAAACTTGCAACAAATGGCGAGGTGGCTGTCCTCTTTCGCAGAGTACAACTTCTCCGTCCAGTAGAAACCAGGACGACTTAATGTTTTTGCTGATCCTCTTTTGCGTCGGCCCGATTCTGAGCCGACTGCCTAACACAACATTAGGGGTGATCTCACTGTTGCAACACTAACCATTACGCTTTCGTCGTCGAATCTGCTCGACGACGTGCGGAAAGCCAACGCTAGAGATAAATCTCTTCTGCGATTGATTAATTACATGTCAAATCCATGCAGTCAAGCTTTGAAAAGCTTGTTGTCTCAATACCGCTCTTAAACTGAACGGTATTCGGTTCGTGATGAACTGCTGTACTTTACAGCAGTAAACAGTGACACACCTCGTGTCGTCGTTTCCGCTCATAACGATCCGCGATTGCGCATCATGTATGAGTGTCACGATACCCCAACAAGTGGGCATCGCGGTATAGAAAAAACTTACCTCCTGGTATGCCGTTACTTCTACTGGCCCCGCCGGAATGATTTTGTGCGCAAATACATTCGCTCTAGCGAAGTCTGTCAACGGGTGAAGCCTAGTCCTTCATCCCGCGAACCCTTGCAGCCTCTACCAATTCCGGCAGAGTTTTGGCTGTCCTTATCGATGGACTTTATAGCGGAGCTACACAGCTCTCGAAGTCAGAGGAAGACTTAACGCTCTACGAGCAGTTTAGTTTTAAAGAACTAATGACTTTAAGAGCCACAAGCTTTATAGCTTCAGATCCCTGATCCAGGGGACCTGACGATTTAGTGAATCGACAGCACTAAGTGCTCAAGAGTAGCTACCTCAAGGAGGTGCTGCTTACTCTTAGTGATCAGTGATCAACGATCAAGACGGCTTGCAAGGCACGTGTCCTTCCGATCAAAATGGGAACTGATTTTATTTTTGTGTAAAAGCCTATAGAATGTCTTAATTCTACTCAAAGGTCTTTCGTGCATAATGATTGACACTCATCAGCCCCTACAAACCAATAAGATATTCTATATCACCTCCACAAGGGGTTACCCTCAGGTGTGTAACACCTCTGGTACAAAGTACCATAATCTCGTGCAACCTCGTTACACCCTCCCCCACCAGACTGAAGTTTGCCAAAACGTCAACCGAACTTGTGTTCTCAACGAGAATAGTGCGCGTACGGTGAACCTCACGGTAACGTACGCTCTAGCAAGATGTCCTCATCACCAAACGAGTCAAAGGCTCTGTGTAGCTACCTCGGAATAGAGGAAGAGGTATACTATGGTAGCGATACCAGTGTTCGCGGTTATACAGGGGACAATGTCCGGCTCACTGATGCCTGAGGCACAACCTTCGAACACCCCAAATCCATTTTCTGAACGTGGAGATGCGAGCGCGCCACTAGCGCAGCACTTAGCACCTGGGTCTGATGAGACTATCATCACGAACCCGCTCGATGATCGACAACAATTTATTGTCCAAAGAGAAGAAAACGCTCAGCGTTATGTACAAATGGCTGCAACCCTTGAAGGCCAGCGTGACCATGTGTTAACCCCACCCTGTGTGGAGGAACGTCTACGTCAAGCGGCCGGCCAAACATTGGCAACGTGGGTCATTGGCCATGGGCCTAAGACTCCTGAGGAGGTGGTGAGCTGCCAGGCACTTCGTGAGAGGTACCTGGAGTCGCACCTAAAGACTCAAAGTTTATACAAGGCACGCCTTGACATGCAAGCACGTGGTGCACCGGTTCCACCGATCAAGGGTATACCCATTCTCTTGCTCGCAGGCGAAATAGTGAGTGAAGAAGAAGATGCCTTCGCTCACTGGGTGCACTATGTGCGTCGCCTCAGCAAAAAATTGATCTAAGGGCTAGAGCCCATGCGGCTGATGTGCGTCTTGAACGCAAGCTTCGGCATGGTTATGCCAAGCTTAAGGCCAGAGGCCAATTGCGCAAGCGCACGCGCTATGCTTCGGCTATTAAGGTAGCCGCGAATGCTGGTCAGTCTGTGGCCAACAACCCGCCAACTCGCACCACTAGTGGTGGGGAACGGCCCCGGTCTCGAGATGACCATGGCCACGATGCTCAAAAGCAGCTAAAGCATACGGGCAGTCTTGCCGAAGACGTACCTCAAATTCCCATGAGATTTCAGACTCAGGGTACCTACGCCACTTTACCAGATACTGGTATTGGCCCTGACGACGACGTCGTGTCATTAGTCTCTCGACATTAAAATGACGTCACCCAAGCTCATCGAGCAAAGTCGGTGGCGACCGGTGTACCGGTGGAGGCCCACGAGAAATTGGTTCTTGAAGTGAAGGGTCCACCAGAGGCCTTGGGTAAGTCCCAGTGTATGCTGGATGCGATGAAAAGCCACCTCCAGGCGATGGAGCAAGCTTAAACTCGATGCGAGGCTCAGTTAGACTTGCTGACTCGCCTACAGCAATCCGGGGCAGTGCCCTTGTCGTCGGCGCAACCGCCTCCAAGTTCACATGGGAGGGATCCCGGTACGGCTTAAGTAAGCCTACGTAAAACACTGGATGTGTGCGCAATTTGCGCTGGAGGTTTAGCGTACACGCAAGTCCCTTCTTGGACGTGACCGGACACGGTCCAATAGAGCGTGGACGCAACTTTGTCTTAAAGACAGCAGACAATACCTTTGTAGATAGATTTTCAGAATTGAAAAATACTTGGTCTCCGACCTTATAACGTTCAATACAATTTCTGCCTTTGGCATCAGCTTGTTGTTTTTGGGTATCTTGGCTATCAGCCATTGCGTCAAGCATATGTCGTGAGACATTTAATCGCGTTGCGAGAAACTCGCCTACCTGTTTTTGAACAGTAGCAGGGCTAATATTAGCAAGCCGATCGGCAACCTCTCCCCCACCAAGCCTTAATACACGTAGTGATAGCGTTAACGGAACGCGAGGGTGAGTAAGACCGTTTATATAGAATGGAGTAAAGCCTGTTGAGGCACAAACATCGTTATTCAACGCAAACTCAATAACAGGGAGCATTGAGCTCCAACGCCTAGTCTCATCAGCGCAAACACTGCGCAAAATGTCATTGATGACGCGGTTAACACGCTCAGTTTGACCGTCGGTCTGCGAATGATCCGCTGTGGACATGTCCAACCGAGTGCCTAGCACCTTGAAGATAGACTTCCAAAACTTTCAGTGAAGTGAAGATCTCTATCAGAGATCATTGCCACCGGCAAGCCATGTTGGCGAAACACACGGTCGATAAACAGCTTTGCTGTACCTTCAGCATCGATGCTATCCGGCACAACCGCTAAGTGAGTCATCTTGCTTAATCGGTCAACAAAGACGACAATACCAGTGTTGCCTTCCGAATCTTTCGGTAGGCCAAACAAGAGATCCATGCTCATTGAATCCCAACAACCAGTGGGAACTGGCAAACTATCCAGCGACGCCGCCGCATGTGCCGTGGGTTTAACTTTTTGACACGATTCGCACGAACGCACATAGGTGCTCACCCACTTATAAAGTTTGAGCCACCAATAACTTAGGCTCACCGAGCTATAAGTCTTCTCACGACCGAGATGACCACTTAAAGTAGTATCATGTGTCTCATAGAGGGTTTGATACGTTAATTCCTCATCATGAGGTACAGCGATTCGAGGATTATCCTCAATATCCGTGCGATAGCACAACAGGCCATTATCGATGGAATATCGATGTAGCCTCGCACGTAAACGTGCCGAAAACTCGATGTTCGAGTCCTTAAACTCACCGCTTCCAAGAGCGCGCAGCAAAGCTACACACTGATCATCCTTGGCATATGTCGCACGTATTAAGTCAGGGACTGACGAAGACAGAGTCGTAACATGAGCAAGCTCATTTTCCTGTCGACGCGATAGTGCATCAGTTTAAGCATTTTGCTTACCTGGCTTTTGCTTCACCTCGAAGTCATATTCGGCAAAGAAGGAAAGCCAAAGATCCATTCTCTGTGATAGATGAGGCGACTGTGTCGCAGTGCGTAGTGACGCGTGGTCTGTGCAGATCACAAACGGCTTTGATCCAAGCAGATGTACTCTGAACTTGACTAGAGCGGTCTTCATAGTAAGTAGCTATTTGCCATGAACAGGATAGTCCTTTTCAGCAGCTTTCAGCTGCCGAGACTCAAAGGAGATGACGCTTTCGCGTCCATCGACATCTGTTTGTAACAGCGCACTGCCTATGGCGAAGTCAGATGCGTCACAGACGACACTGGTAGGCCGATCGGGATCGGGCAAAGCCAATATTGGAGCATGAAGGAGACTGTCCTTAACTGCTTCAAAAGCATCATGTTCAGTTTTACCCCAACACCAATCCACATCCTTTTTAAGAAGATTAGACAATGGCCGAGCCATATCTGTGTTATTCGCACTGTACTTATGTAAGTACTTGGCAAGACCAAGCCACTTACGCAAGTCCTTTTGGTCCTTGGGAACCGGCCAATCGACTATGGCTTTCACCTTAGCAGATCCGCTCGAAGGCCTCGCTTCCCAATGAAGCACCCTAGAAAGGGAATCTCTTCTATACCAAAGATGCACTTCGACGCGTTCGCATACAACTTATTCGCTCGCATACACCCGAGCACCGCTCGTAAATGATCAATGTGATTATCCACATCTGATCGCCCATTCATTGCACGACAATGAATATTAAATAAATATGATGTATACATATGCAAAAATGTCATCAAAGTACGTTGTGCATAGCCTCGATGAGGTCTGAATAGTTGCGTTACCAGCCGGTTAAACGTAGCCGGGGCGTTAAATAGCCCGTGTGGCATAACGAGCCACTCCCAGAGCATACCGCTCGGAGTACTCACCGCTGTTAGTGGAATATCACTTACTCGCATGATCAGTTGGTAATAACCATCGACTGAGTCGAGTGCACTGTACAATGTACATCCTACCATATTGTTCTGAAGAACATCCTTTCTAGGAATAGTCGTCTGCGCCGGTATAGTGGCTGCATTAAGCCTATTGTAAGCATGCACAGTAAGCGACTTGCCATTTGGCTTTTTGACACAAAATGTCGGTGTTGAATGGGGAGACTTGCTCTCACGAACCATTTCAGCCGCGTGCTTAGCACGAAAGAAATCGTCAATGACGTCATACTGCTCTCTAGGCAAAGGCCACTACCGTGTTACACAGTATTTAGTTCCAGGAACTAAGTCAATTTCATGACGTACACCTCTATCGGGAGGTAGGCAGAAGGTGGGTTGCAACACAGCACATCTTAAAGTTCCTTAACTAAAGGATAGAACGGATCCAAAGGATCTTAAAGGATCGAAGATCCACTTCGTGCACTAAGTTCCACCTTTGTATCATCTTGGACAAACTCATCCATTAACGAGGAAGAGTTCAACTCAGTTTCAGGTCCAATGACCACTAAATCGGATTACTCTCCTGCCTTAAGGCTTGGCTAAACTCGCCATCAGACATTTCGTCTAGCTCACAAAGAGCGTCCACAGATGAAAGGGTTTCAAGGCAAACACTGCCATCAACCTGACCAGTCAATCCATTAACAAGTGTATAGAGTGTATTACTATTATCACTATGTGACTGTGTGAATGCCTGGAGCTTTACATCAGCCACCCGGACTCTCGATCGTCTCTTCAAGACCTTACACCCCTTAGGGGTCGGGACAATAGTATCCCCATGGTTACTACCAACCATAGTACGCTCTGTACGAGAGTTTTTGTCTTGACCGACATCCTGTGAAGTGTTACATAACTCGAACACTTCACCCAGTGGATTACAACGTGCCACTCCACGTGTATTATGCGGGTTTAGCCCTAAATTTAATGGCGTCTCGCCAACAATCTCATTACTGACATTAGGTGTGGTGCCCTCACGGCCGCCCACACTATACGGCGTATCGCCAACAACGTCATTACCGTCGTTAAGTGTGGTGCCCTCACGGCCGCCCACACTATACGGCGTATCGCCAACAACGTCATTACCGTCGTTGAGTGTGGTGCCTTCACGGCCGCCCACACTAAATGGCAAATGGCCAACAATGTCATTACCGACATAAAGTGCGGTGCTCTCACGGGCCGACCGCACTCGGTGTAGTTTCACATGCCACCATACACACACCAAAGGAATCACATCCTTGATCACTCAGCCCTAGTCCATCCTTGCTTTCAGCATGCAGTGACTCGTTATCACAACTAGTAACACTCAACGGAGTACGTGCCGTTTCACTAGTTTTAGACGAGCTAGGCTTGAAACTTATGTTTGTAACATTGGAGTTAGATAACTTAGACATTCCAATATCCAGCACATTGACATCTTTTGTCAAAGGCTCGCGCCAATAGCGCTTCTGTTTCCTAGCGAATGTGGGTTCATGACTCTCCAAAGCTTCTCTAGGAACATTGCGCGTAGCGCCTAAGGTATTAGACCTCCAAGCAATCCAGGGCTCATGGCGCTCAAGCCAAGCCATACCTAGGATGAGATCATATCTCGAGTCCAAATCTAGGACAAGACAGCGCTCAATACTGTCAATGTCTACAAACTTTGTACCTAAGTTCAGTGAACCTTTAGGCACAGTTACGCGACTTCCAGTCGCTAAACGTACCGTGATAACATCACCCTCTTACGCTCTCAGCGCCTCAGCATATTACTGACATCCTTTAAGGGAACGGCGTCGAGCATAATTGCAAGACGCTCCAGAATCGATCAATATCGACCAAGGCTTCTCAGAGCCCTTAATTTTCGCCTTGGCGAACAACAAGCCAGACCTGTATCCACGCACCATATCCGTAGGTATGGTACTCTTTAGGGCTAAGCCCTGCCCTCCTTTACCTCCTGAAGGTGTAACAAAACCTAGTTTTTCCCCAGTAGGGCGCCCCGCGCCTACTGGGTGTCGGCATTTCCCCGTGCCATACCAGACTTCTGACTCGGGTTCGAGTGTTGGCTTGTAGCCTGGCGTTGCTTACGCAAAGGGCAACCAGGCCGCAAGTGTTTAGTGCTCCCGTACGTAAAGCATCGTCGTACGACGTGTTGCCGCTCAGCAGCTTGAAGCTCAGTTTCACCTTCGTCTTCAGCATAGCTGAGATCCATCGGTTCCGGCCTATTATAGGCAGTGGTACCCGAATAGTTTGCTCTCATAGAGCGAGGATTGTACCCGTTCCAACCAGGTCTGGCCGACTTAAAGTTATGCTCAGCATTAAGAGAAAGTCTCACAGCCTCTTCAAAAGTAGAGAGGTGAACCAAAA